AAAAAAATGGTAAAGCTATCGAGCTCAAAAATCATTGCATTTACAGCAGACAGCAGCGCACATAGGGCTCCAAAAAGCGATATACGATTTACGCAGAGAGCTCAAAGAAGCTGATTCTTAAGGTTACCTTTGATTTTCAACATCATTGACCTTGTGGAAATGGAGAACCGTCTGCGATGGTAGAAATTTCTAAACTTGTCTTTCAGTTGTTCGCACAGTCAATACACTTCAAGACCCGGTACTCCGCCTGAGGCTTTTAGTGTAAACTCGTATTACTTGCTTTCAATCTTAGTTTGTTCATGAACTGGAGCTGCGCTTTTAAAATTGCCTTTAATAGTTCTTTACAACCTCTACCCGCCATGTTTTTGACAGGGTTATTTCTCTTTTCATAACAGCAACATAGCCCGGGTGATACCGCTTTGATCGAGAATTTTCACAGTCTGCTGACCAGCATAGAAGAACTTTACGAGACAGAAAAGTTTAATGGACCAGAAGAGAGATTTTTTAACATAGTAGAGAAGGTTTCAAGCAACCGACCGGTTAGTAAAACAGCTTTAGTTGTTGTTATTTCTACTAAATTTCTACAAAGGGAAAGAAGGAGTAAGGATTACCACGATCGGTTAGTGCGCATGCGCGGCCGGCGTTCTCTGCGGGAAGTTCCGAGTTCAATTCCCAGGTGTATCGACTTCTTTGCTTTCCCTGCAGAGCTCCGTACTAGTGGAGAGAGAGAGGTCGGCCTCAGGATTATCAGTTTAAGTAATTTTATGAGTTGCGACGTAAAAATTGGATCTTTTTAGTTTCCCTATAAGACGGGGTGACCTTTGGAACCACACTGTGTGTCTGTCTTAGAGAGAGTCATCTAAAAGAAGAAAAAAAGGAAGAGTCCAACTCTGAGTTTCCGTTTTAGTGAGGTGTCCGTCTTATAGAGGCGTCCGTTAAGAAAGAGTTGAAGTATTTTTCTCAGACTGAAAAAAGGTAGTCAGTGTTTTTTCAAATCAATTTAAAATGCATCCTGTTTTTGAGAATCGTAAGCATGCTTTTATTGATTTGCAGGAGCGATCTCTTCATATCCTTGTGTCCTTCAGAGCTCAGGCAGTGCACCCTGCCCAAGTAGGGTGGCTAACAAACCTTCACAGCCTAATGGAAAAGTATTTCAGGTACATGACGACGTTATACGATATAAGACGTTGTAGGAAAAACGTTATAAGGGACTTTAAGATCCGACGAGGGGACCGCAACGAGATCGTCAAAAAAAAAAAATAAAATAAAATAAATAAATAAATAGGTTTTTAATAGGCAAAACCTAAATTTTGCACGTTCATTACAAGTTTTGTACATTTATTTGCAACTTGGGGAGCAAGGGTGGCGCAGTGGTGAGAGCACTCGCCTCCCACCAATGTGGCCCGGGTTCAAATCCCGGCGTCGACGCCATAATTATGTGGGTTGAGTTTATTGCTGGTTCTCTCCCTTGCTCCGAGAGGTTTTTCTCTGGATACTCCGGTTTTCCCCTCTCCTCAAAAACCAACATTTCCAAATTCCAATTCGACCAGGAATCAGGTAGACGAAGAACCACTATGTGGATGTGCTACCTGTAAATGGTTATTCATTTATTCATTTATTCATTATTCATTTGCCGTTTTCATTGCACGACTACGACGTGAAATAGACCTCTTTAGCCTTTTCCCAATAGAGGTCCCAGAGGAACTTGACCCTTTGTCTTTTCAGAAATTATTCGTAGATATGCACGTGAAGAAGACGAAATTTGAAAGAAACAGTTCTCTAGAGTGTTATCACATGACCTGTCTTGGGAAAACAAACATACAAGCTAAAGAAGTCTATTGCCAAATTTTAAGTGTTATGGAAAACGTAAACAAGCGACGACGAAATTATACTTCTCTTTCTGGGACATCGTTCCTGGGAATTCAGCTCAAGGAGCGATTAAGACTGAAAGAACTCAAATTCACTTTCGCTGCTATCTCGTCCTTGGATCTTAAATTCCGACCTTATTGTTTCCTTGATCTTTTTCAGATATGAAATCCGTACTAGCATAAGAGAGAGGGTTCTTTCTGTGTTGTCTTCCCTGTTAGCATCATACGGCCATTGGTATGAGGTAAGTGGAACTAATCAGCTTACATAGTAGGGGAGTTTGTGGTTAACGACTGCCTAAGTTGTTGTATTCACACTCCACGTCGGAGTTTGTTTATTTCAAACTTTTGTTTCGATAACAGAGAATAAAAATAACGTTAGTGCACCACGTACAAATTAGGAAACCTTGTGAATTTCAATCCAATTTTTTGCACAGAAACAGGTTATACTACTCAGGGCAGAAAAAATTTGAATTCCAGCTTACCCTTAGGATAAGCGGCACTCAAATTTTGCTTGTCCAGGGCCCTTGCGTCCTTTCCAAGTTTATGATTTATTTAGAAGACGCCCTGCCTGGGGCTTTGTCCATCGCTGGAATAAGCATGCATGGAAAGTTACTTGGAAATTTGCTTTTCTCGGATAACCTGCGACACAGACGAACCTAAACCTCTGGTTAAATCCGTCTGCGAGTCAGTGACAAAGTCCTTGTTCTGGGGCCACCACCTTCGTACCAGAATTTGAGTAGGCGCCATGATTAGTCCGTTAAAAAAGGCCGTTATCAATTTTCCAATCAGATTGAAGGGAAATTCGAAACGCACCTCCAGTAATTCGTTGAGCTAGGTGGCTGAGGGATCAAACAAGGATCTCGGCGCTGTTTCCCAGACGTTACTGGCCAGGGTAAGATTACGTCTCTGAGGCAAGCTATGACTCGGACGACCGGATGGGACGTTTCTCGAGTCTTGCTACCACCAGGTCAAAAATTATACAAATGAACAAAACAAAAACACGAGTTGGAATCTGAACTGATAACAGAAGGATAATGTGGAATTTTTTTTAACAGGAAGAGCTTCTAGAGTCAGCGGTGTTGCCATATCTGAGTCACATATCCGAGGACCAAGATGTCACAGTGCGTGACGCTGCAGTACAGATACTTATTGATTTGTGTCTGATGTGTGACTCGCAGAAGTGTCAAGATTTCCTCGACATTATTGAGAAGGTATGTTTCTTCAATTCCTATTCCTGGTGTATTGTGTTTTCAGCTGAGTTCATAAGATGAGTTTGCAACCTTAAGAGAGATTCAAAACCTAACGCTTCGATCGCTTTCGCAGCGTGAATCCAATTTCGTGCTACCGCGAAATTCAATTTGGTACCTTTTGTCGGAGCGAATTCAACTCCATAGCATCAAAAGCTCGGCGTTGGGAAAATCATTAAATATCGCAAATCTGATAAAAGCCAAACTAAAAATGTCGTTGGCAATCGAATATATCTTTTAAAGGTTATTATCTTTTTTATGTTACTTTTTTACTTTTTCTGACTGACAAGTTGCAAACAGGTTTGAGTTATAGTCATTTCTTGCGCTTGGTTCCCGTTAGTAACCACGACGGCAACGGCAAGGAGAACTTTAGAAAAGCAATGGTTTTAATGAGCAAACAACTCTGCACTTGCATTACATTTTTGGTACATTTCTTTCCCTTCCCTTCACGAAGGCTTTGCTCATGTCAAGTTCTTGTGACGACGTCAACGCACGGCGACGAGTCTTTCTTTCTCTTTGCGAATTTTTGTTCGGTCCTTCAGAATTCAATGCTAGAAAAAAAATTGCCTTAGATTAACAAATTGATCGGATTGGAATAATTGCGAATTGTCTTTAAAATTTACCTTTCGCTTCGGTTGCCGTCGTTGTTGCTGAAGGTCTCTGTTGATTATAGCAGACTCAGATTTCATTCATATATTTTATTTGTTACCCTCTATTGAAAAGTATTATTACAGTCTGACTATAAATATGTGCAATACATTACAAGAACAAAGTATATAAATGATTCCTGTAGCAGGACCAGTATTCTGAGTCCAAAAATAACCAAGAAATAAAGGTACATGTACTGCCCATTGGCGAGAGTATAGTGGTCCCGTCTCTAGCAGGAGACAAAAAACAGTGTCCCCGTTTAGTACCGTCACTCACATAATTGTAATAATAACAACCAAATGCGCTGTTCTTCTTTTTTTTCCCAGGTTATCAGTAGACATGTGGAGCTACAAGGAAAAAGCTATCCACTTGAACAACAGCAACAGGTTATAGCCTATAATACTATGTTCGAATAGCACTATTTTCAAAAAGGCAGGAAAATGTGAACACGTTTTAAGGATCCAGTACATCTCTATAACATTCAGCTCGTTGTGCTGATCAGCTAAATGAAGTCATTTTTGGTACCCACGAAGGTCTCTTATTCCGCATCAGTGATCCTCGTATACATGTATACAAAAGAGAGTATTGTCTTTGTTTTTAAGTGCTTTGTTGGGTTCATACTCGGTGTAAAAATCTGTGAAACTCACGAGTGACGTAAAACAATGAATACAAAGAGGCTCCTGAGAAGTCAACACAATAGATTCAAGGAAAATGACAGCTAGAAAAAACTTCACAGGTTTTTACCCCGATGATGACTCCTTCTGTTGTTCTTTCATCTATAGTTGGTGCAAGAAGAAAAAGAACTAAAGGACATCAAAACAGCAGTCAGCGGATTGGTGGAAGTTTTTAAGGTAAGGAGACTGGCCGGGTAACGTTTGTGCTAGACTGTTGACAGTCCCCTATTTTTCGTAAGATCGACAGGATCGAGCTCTTACCTGTATCGGCCATCTTGGTTTCATATGTACCCAGAGGCCAGGCGTCGGGGTGTTAAGTAGTTTTGACACTCATCCAAGATGGCTGCCCGTTACGCAAAGTACTCGATCTCGACGATCTTACGGAAAAGTAGAGGACTGGAAAGAGTCTATGTTTGTGTTACCAAAAAGTGGTTTTATATTGAGCATCGTAAACCCAAAACCAAACCAAAGAAATAACTATGACCCATTACAAGCACTTGTGCAAGTTAGCAATTCTTGAAAAGTTATTTTACTGCCAGTGCTAAGCATCAACATCATCCCTCACCCCTTTCCGGAACGAACTTCGTGACCGACCAAAAATTTTATCCTGCAGCGACTGGTCAGTCACTTAAAAGCAGCATAGTAACTTTTAACCATGGATGTGAAAATACAGGCTAAGAATGCGGTGTGCAATCTAGTGTCAACACATATTTACTTTTGCGTTGGTTCTTTTGCAACTTTTCACCAGAACCAAGTTATTTACTTTGCGACACGCGCTCCCCGCGCTAATAGGCCAGTTTCGAATTATCAAAATTCGCAGTTTGGCTTCGAGGCTGAGGGGAATAAAACGAAAGAAATGAATTATTTATCACTGAATTTCAATGCGTTTTCATTTGTTTTAACCCCTCAGCCTCCGTGCTAAGAATGAATCTTAATAATTTGAAACTGGTCTACTGGGGCACCCTCAAGATTAAGTTCAGATTGATTTGTGGGATTGTCTGAGTGTAGGATTCTCAATACTTAGGTGTTCAAAATATTACATTGGGCAGCTGAAAGCGAGGCTCTTATGGTTGTTACGGGGCTTAGCCCACCCGGATATGCATCAAAAAGGACGCTCGTCTTGTCTTAAGTAATAAGCGACCTTCTCTCATATGTAGCACAAAAGATGTCTTCGCGGCTTAAATGAGACGCAACGTAGCTAAAATTTCTGTTTAATGTAAATTGAATTGTTCGTTTTATCGACAGCACAAGTTGTACCGTTTGCCTCACGGCCACGCTGTTCGTACATTTGAACTGTTGGTGTCACACATGAAAGCACATTATTACCATGGATATAGCACTGACATTGCCAGCGTTATAAGAAACTTGGTATGCTTAATTTTGTTTCTTGCATAGAAGAAAATACCGTAAATAGAAAAGTAAATAAGTTAATAAATTAATGAATAAATCGTCACATACAAAGCAGTTCGAATGTAAGACTTTACCTGTTGGACTTAATTTGTGGTTAACTATATTGAGCGTAAAACTGTGAAAGGTTTGAAACCCAGGAGTCATTTCATAGGTAGGTTGAGTATGATCGTCCGGGTGAACGTAGTCCTGAATAGGACTGTTGTTGACAGTGACTGTGGTTTCGACAATCTATGCGGTAGTCATCTTGAGAGTCAAAGTGAGTTGTATCACGCCAGTTTATGGTATTAAACTCTGGCCATTGACCTGATTGGTCAATGAAGTTGCGATGTTATTGGTCGTCTGTCAGTTAAGCCGTGAGGTTGTTGGTTATTAAGACTCGTAATGTCATTGGTACGTTTCGATCCGTCTATTGTAACAGTTAGACAGTCGTTAATTGTTAGTTAAATTGTCAGTTGTCCAGTCGTTCTCTCGTAGTTAGTTTTGCTTGATTCCGTCAATAAGTCGTTTGTACGGCGCCGGTAACTGTTGACGACGATTCAGTGGCATTTGTTCTAGGTTAGTAAACCAGCTTTCTAAAGTGAGTCGTTGATAGTAGTCTTGTAACTGCTCTGTGGTAGTAGCCAACTCGAAAGCTTGGCTCCTTTGGCTGCTACACACTCTTCCTTTTTTATGTTTAATTCAATGTATAGTTAGCTCTGTTTTTTACTTCTTCCTTTTTTTTCCTTATTGTTGTATTGTAATTGAATAAGTTTGAATAAATGAACTTGAACTTGAACTTGAACTTGTAGAATACGTAATATATGTCGCAGAGTCCATGTCGATTTGAGATTTTGTCTGTAAATGGTGCTCTGCAATGTGATTGTTGCCGTTTCAAACATTTCGTTGCGATTGGTGCGTTTCGAACCGCTTTTTGTCATTGTAAAATCGGTCGTCTTGTGAGTAAAATTGGCGTTTTTTGGTAATGTGATATCGTCAGTTTTGTTGAAACGTCAAAAAACTAAAGAAAAAAAAATAACTGAATAAATTGATACAGTCTATAAGGTGAACATAGGGCTAACGAACTATACGTAGTGCTTCTCTGTTATCTTTAATATCTTTGATACTTTCATTTGGTGAAGAATTGATCCTGGTAATGGCTATGACAACTTTAAATGGATTGAGACAGTGTCCACTCCAGAACCCAATGTACTGTTTTAATGCCTGATCCCCAAAAATGTTATTGTAACTGAGATTTTCAGTTGTAAAAAGTTTGGACATGATGTTATAAATAAAGTGAATGTCCTTTTCTTTCGCTTCACTCTTATCAAGTATCAAATGTACGTGTCAAAACTCTACAGACTGAAAGCTTGGTAAAACTGTGTAAAATAAATCACCTTTTAAGTTATGACATTATAACATTACTGCAAGCTTCTTACAAGTATACCTTATTTTCAGGCGTTTGAGTGTTTTCTTAGTTTGCGATGTGATTCCAGTTTACGTCTTGGTTTATGTGATAGCAAAGCGGAGGGAGGCGGCGGAAAGTTCAGTCCTTACTTTACTTGCACGCACAGGTAACCTTGCAGGTTTAATTTGAAAACGTTGCCTACTCCATTATTAGAAAGCCATATTGTTTCAAATGTAGTGACGTAACTTTTTACTTTTTTTCCCTTAAGTGATGCTGATACGAAGGCATTGTCACATCTTGCGCTGATAAATTATTCAGAAGTCTTTGAAGTGATATTGAATTGTTTGCAATATGTAAGTTATACACAACATTTTGTTCACTTTTTCTCTAGTTTAACTCAAGCTTCCCTGATAAAACAGTGATCAACCTAACGTCAACCGAAGGATCAAAGACCAGAATGGCACTCTTTCTGAATGTTCTGTTTACACTAAATGCACCTTAAGGCCAATTCCACAGATTAACTTAGCAAGAGTGTTTTTGCGCCGTTTTTAGTTGTGTGTTAAAAGTAGACCAGACGGAGTAACAACAAGAGCCAGAATGTAATTCGGAAAGAAAATTAGTTTGAACCCGCAGTTTTCTCAGGAAATTAAGCTTTGATATTGTAGAAATTTATATTCATTATATCTTATTTTCTCATTAAAAAAACAAACAAACAAACAAACAAACAAATCCCCTTTTGCGTTTCAATAACAGTCGGGAATGCAAATGTTTGATTCTTTGTTTTGTTTTTTAGGAGTGGGATTGGACAGTAATGGAACATGTTTTAACCGCGCTACCCGAGGTCTTACAAAATAAGAACCTAATACTATCAGCCAATCCTGCATTGAACACGATGACGTCAGTACTCTGTCACATGGTAAGGCCCCACATTTCGCGCCTTTACTCCATCTTAGACCCGGTTCAGACGCTTTACTTCACATGAGCCGAATCGAATTCAGTGAATTACGTTCTTGTGAAGTACGACGTCTGAGTCAATTCGAAATAGGTTATTGAATTTGGATCGGTTCAGCCGCTCATCACACCTGACTTAGTCGGGGATCGCATCGGCTGTGGACCGTCGTAGATCAAGAGAGAATTCAGATGATATTCGGATGCGGAACTTCACTTCACCCCTTTTAGTCGATTTCATGATCGCTTAGGTATCCTATTGCCGGCTTTTGTTAGATCACTGTGTTTTCTTTTTTCTGTGCAGGTGTCAGAGCCTTCTTGTATAATTGACCTTCGTCGGGTTCCTCATGGTGTGGGCAGAGCGGGATTGCAGTCTCTTATATTTCCAGTGAGTATCAGTTGAATTTTGGTGCTCGTAGTTACCCATCCTTAGCACCTGACAGGTTTTCCCTCAGTTTTACCATAGATTGGTCCATTCATTGCGTCTTGATACTAAGCTACTCCAAATGCATATTTTGCAGGTTTTAACAGTTCTCGCTACATATCATTCCAGTCTTGACAGAGGCCGACAGGTGAGTTTAGCATTTTTAGGTAAAATCCGTCCAAACAGTAAGATGTTCTCACTTCCTGAGTCTTTCGTACGTTTGTTGGGCATAATGAAAAGATAATGTACTGGTTTTCCATAACTTCAGTATGGTTTTATTCTTGTGGCACTGCAGTTAAACCTTCATGTGCGACCACATCTTGAGATACCACCCATCCTAGAAAAACAAAATAACCTCCCAAAAGCGCAAACCCAAAATGCCAGAATTTGATGCTCAAAAGGATGATGTTTTACAAGTGTTCAGTTCTTTGATTGGAATACTGAACTTGGTATTTTACATAGGTAGTCTCATATGAGAGGTGGTCGCAAGTGCAGGTTCGAAGGAACCAACAATAGTTTTCCAGTCATAGCACTATAATGGTCGCTAACTGAATGCTCCAGTGTTTATGAAATAGTAGTAAACTTTGTTTCTAAGGAAACTGTGAAAGGTTTGAACCTAGGAGTCATTTCATAAGTAAAGGACCACGTAGAGTAAAGGAGCACAGTCAGGACTACGCTAACCCGGCGACCATGCTCCACCTATGTGTGCCATAGGAAAAGAACTCAAGGAAATGACAGGGCATGTTTTTTAACTTTTTTTTTCTTTTTTTGGCCAAAAGCAGGGTTCGCACAGTCTGGAAAAGTCCTTGAATTTTCTTCAACTTTGAATGTAGTGGTCTGGAAAGAGTTTTTTGATGCTTTTTGGTTGTCTAAGACAGAATATAAATCATAGCTCAGAGAATTGAAAGGTTATTTACATAAAGTGCTCTATGTGTTATGCAATAATTAAGCACCAATTTAAGATAAGTGAACTGAAAAATGTAGAGAAGTTGGTGAAGCAAACGGTTCAAGCCTTTAAGTCTTATTAGAATAGACTGGGAATGTGGATTTTCGTTATTACCTGTAAAATTATATTCCTAGTAGGTGGTCCTTGAAAAGTCCATAAAAAGTCCTTGAAAAATGGTTCCAACTTTTTATATGAACCCTGAAAAGGGGTGTCCTTATGGAACAGTTTGACTGTACTGATCTTGTTTGCGTATGCTTGACCTAGTTTGAGCTGGTCAGAACATTGGAGTTGGGTTTAGTGACAAAGTGCGCCGTGCTGTGTGTCTCATCTCTGACATTGTGCACCATGGAGATGCAGGCAGTCATGAAAAGGTTGGTACATTACATTATTGTCTGACGTCTGAACTATTCCTTTGGCATACGTGCAAGGCTTTAGTCTATTTTTATCAGACCAGGCTTAATGTCGGACTATAATTACACGGTACTACCTGTTTGTTGCTGTTACGTTTTGATTTACGTTCGAAGTGATTTTCCTTCCTATTTCTAAAAATGTAACCGGCTTTGCTTTCCATGCTTCGTCCCTCGGGATTCTTCGAAAACTTTGAGGACCAAACTATTTTGTCTTGCTAGATTGAAACTCTCAGTGTTGCGCTTTGTGTAAAGTAATTTTTTATCCTTTAATTTTCCGTTTTCCAGCCTTCTTCCAGCGCTACTTGTCCGCTTGACCCAGATCTCTGCAACCGTTTCCATGGCAGCACCTATGCTGGAGTTCCTCTCAGGTGTGTACTGAAAGTTGTTCACATTTTAGGGGTTTATTCAAATTTTAAGTCCTTTTATTTCCTCTGTCATAATTGTGGACGTACTTTTTTTAAACAGGTCTCGTTCATTTACCTCATTTGTACGCCAGTTTCCAGGACAGCCAATATAAAAGCGTATTTGCTATTTGTTTGCCATACACAGATCCATTCAGGTAAGTCTTTGTTGTTGGCGATTTTCTAATCAGGGTTACTACGTTCAGGAAAAAAAATCTGTGAAAACAAATTTTTAAGTCACTGAAAAAGTCAAGGAATTATTTTTTATTGCCCACAAAAACCCGTGAAAAGTGGTTGAAAATGAAGGGAGGAATATTCATCAGTTTGATGGCGTCATGAAAAAAGCTGAAGCAAACGTAAACTCGGATTGGTTTTTGTTAATAGACACCTAATGCAAGGTCCGTGAAAATTTCTAGAGGTAAGTAAAAAGTAAGGGAAAATTCACAGCATTTTTATTTTGTTTCTGATTAGTGGCAACCCTATTGAGTATTTTATAGAGTTTGTACGATTCTATTTACCTACTTTGTCCACAAATGTTAAGTTGTTGCGCGTTTGTTTCTCACACAGGTACTCTCAGTACACCGTGACACTTGCTTATCACGTGATTGCCGCGTGGTTTGTCCGGTCACGTGTAGCTTATCGCAAAGCATTTGTTGGATTTGTCAGCAAGGTAAGAGAGTGTCTATTTCTCAATACTCTCCTCTATGTTCTGTGAATATAAATGTACCATACATACTGCTACGTCAACCAGCTACGAATTCCAGTCCAACCTGGAACAAAAAATGAGTCGACAGAAGTTCCATCCCTGCCGGAGCTCTTTATCTCTAGATTTTATTTCTTTGCTCAAAGCTCTTTATTGTAAGTATTGCTCTATATTCTTCCTTTTATAGGTGTTCACGAGTAGAACTGTATTTTTCCCAAAAACTATAAACAACGAAAGGCTAAAACAATTTAACGAATCCAAAAACTACAACCGTCAAACCAAAATTTACCCTTTCTCTGTCCTTACGCCACGTTGATACGCTCTACAACTTAATTATTACCTGACACGAATTGTATATTAAACAAGACTATTTATGGTAATTTCCTGTCGTGCAGTCTCTTAGGGCACGAAATAACGCTAGATCATTAATCCTTCTATCCAATGGGATTACTTAATTATTTCATCCACTCTATGGCAGGGTCTTAAATCAAGTGCTATAATCCCGGAGCGTTATGACGCAAGACCCGACAGCCCCGCTTTGGCGGCTTCCAGGGCCCAAATGGGCAGCGTGAGTAATCAGCCCTCGCCCCAGATCACTCATCGGTCAGTTTCGCCCGTGACCCATAAAGAGACTGAAGCAGCGTGTGAACTGCATTCCGAGATGAGTGAAGTGTGTATGGATATGATGGCTAGGTACACATTTGCTCCTTGTATGTCACAACCCACCAGGTAAACAGTCTTGTAAAGTGGTTGTTCGATATTCATAAGTAGTAAAACTTGTTTTTTATCACCGTAGTTTTATATGCGCGCCGTTATTGACTTGCTAGGAGATCCAACAAGCAAATATTTCGACGAAGTTGCCAGGCGCAGAAGTAAAAATACCCACCTTCAGTCAGATTTTGACAACAAATGCATGTCGTCATAGATGTGTGCATTGCATTTTTGTAGCGGCGGGTCGATGCATTTGCTAATAAATTGTCGTTACTGGCATCAAAGTGTTCTAACATTGTACCGTTACTACTATTACGATCATAAATATAAGTATATTTACGACGCTCTTATAATTATTTTTTACAGAACATTGACAGTAAGCCTGTAAAATATTTTGTTATTTTTCCCTGACCAAACTGTTCCAGTGCTGATCGAAGGAATGCAAAATCTTAATGGAATTATTATTCGTGTTCAGGACTAAAGCCGTAGAATATATGCTGGCCAGCGGTCACTCCCGCACTTGGATGATTGGCAGCACGATTGTAACTATAACAACTTCCGGTACATACATCAGTTTGGATGGAGTGTGTGAAAGCTGCTTTACACTGAGGCAAAGAACAGGTAACCTTGTTCACGGTGAGAAAGTTAAAGTCGAGAAAGGTCCTAAACAGCGAAAAAAGGCACCCGTTGGCTCGAAAGAAGAATCTCCTTCTCAGGCCATGATCGACCACATTCACGGCGCTGGTCCCGGTCCCGGTACTCAGGCCCCTTCTGGTGCTCAAATGAGTGCTGAAGGTTCAAGCTTGGAAAAAACGGCTCTTCACAAGGTGCACTCTGTTGATACTCCAAAGTTGATGTCTGAAGCTCATGGCAGCGTTGCTTCTGAGCGGAGATTCAGCGAACCTCTCGTTCCTGTTAACCCCCAGAACTGTCAGTGTGTCTGCCAAGGATGGGCAGAGATATTTATCCGGCGACCCAGCGGCAACATTTCTTGGATCATGCGCATTCAGAATAGGGAATCATCAATNATCTTAATGGAATTATTATTCGTGTTCAGGACTAAAGCCGTAGAATATATGTTGGCCAGCGGTCACTCCCGCACTTGGATGATTGGCAACACGATTGTAACTATAACAACGTCCGGTACATACATCAGTTTGGATGGAGTGTGTGATAGCTGCTTAGCACTGAGGCAAAGAACAGCTAACCTTGGTCACGGTGAGAAAGTTAAAGTCGATAAAGGTCTTAAACAGCGAAAAAAGGCACCCGTTGGCTCGAAAGAAGAATCTCCTCCTCAGGCCATGATCGACCACATTCACGGCGCTGGTCCCGGTCCCGGTACTCAGGCCCCTTCTGGTGCTCAAATGAGCGCTGAAGGTTCAAGCTTGGAAAAAACGGCTCTTCACAAGGTGCACTCTGTTGATACTGCAAAGTTGATGTCTGAAGCTCATGGCAGCGTTGTTTCTGAGCGGAGATTTAGCGAACCTCTCGTTCCTGTTAACCCCCAGAACTGTCAGTGTGTCTGCCAAGGATGGGCAGAGATATTTATCCGGCGACCCAGCGGCAACATTTCTTGGATCATGCGCATTCAGAATAGGGAATCATCAATGCATTTGGATAGCGACATTACCACAGCTGTGGTGGATGATCCCCAGATTGGTGAATGTAAGTTGACTTTTTATTGCTGGTTAAAGGGGAGTTTGTATTATTAGTTAACGCAGCGAACCAGAAATAAATGGATATCTTTTAGATACATTATTTGCACTAAAGTGCAATTTGAAATTTTTGGTTTTCTCTAAATGTTAAACCATGGGGTACTAGAAATTGCACAGCCCACGTTTGCCTCTTACGCACTTCCCTACTGCTCTTACCAGACACCTAAATCTTAAGCCAGCCAGAAAAAGAAAAACACACCGTAACCGTATCACAGGAGAAAAGGAGCTTTAGCGACGACGATGGCGACGGCAACGAGAACGTCTAAGAAAGCAATAGGTTCAATATGTAAAACAGCAACTCTGCACGTGCAGCACACTTTTTGTACATTTCTCTGCCGTCACTTCACAACTACAACTGCAAATTCCATCACGAGACGTTTTATGGAGAACGTAAATACACCTCGACGAATTTTTCTTTCTCCTTGTTAACTTGGGTTTGGTCCCCACGAATTCATTTACAGGGAAATTAAACTACATTTGACTTTTTTAAGTGAGGTGAAATAATCGCTGCGTGCAAAACTGGACGTATCCCAATAATCGCGGAAAATTAAAAAAACAACGCTGTGGCCGTGGCCGTGGCTATTGCTTAACCTTTTTAATGTTTACTTTGCGGGCAGTGTTTTGGCCAGCATATTTTGGTTGGCATCCTCAAGTGGCCCTGGAGACGAAGGTAAAAAAGATGAAGTGTCTTCTCCAACCGCTTGGCGTTCATAGGACACCCTGACGGCCCATGAAACCATTTAACCTAATTGCCCCTCCCCTCTGTCCCCTGCTCAATGCCCGCCAGGATTATTGGTGCTACTGTCATACGTTTACCCACGTTGTTGGGACCAAAGAAACCGAATAATTCTTAACTGTTTTTTCTTTCCTTTCCCTTAGTTTTATCTCCACCTAGCGACAAGCTTGAAGAGATCCTGAGCACAAGCACAGAAAGTGGATCCGTTATTGTTGACGTTATCCGGCAAACCAAGCCACCAGAGGGGAAGGGTGGGGTCGTCGACGCAGGTTGGTTTGTTTTAATATCAAATGGTAGTGAAGTCCAGTTAAACACTTGAAGTATGAATCGCAAACATTTGAAAGAGCCCCTGTACACTATAAGGCTATATTGACACTATACCATGTAGCTTTTGCACTGGCACGAAAACCATACCGGATAGGGGTTCTGTTCACACATAAGGACGGTTGTGGCGGTGCGATTTCTGTTACGGAGCGAAGCTGCGCCGTGCTGATCTCTAAAATGGAGAGTCACCTTTTCTTTGCTAATTTATTCTTTACCTATTCAATTAGCGCAATCTTAGGCCATGGTGTATTAATTGCAAAAAGGGTGAAATGTTCCAAACAGATTGAAACAAGAACTTGTATTCATCAATTGACGTAAACGGAGGTGACAGCAAACCCGCTGCAAATGAATAAGAGCGACGTAAGGCAATTTTAATTTAGTCCAAGTGTTTTAAAAGCCAAATAATGTTCTCTCTCTTTGGTTGCCGCCCCAATTAGCCCTGGAAAACTCACCTTCTGCCTGGCAGCAAGACAGCGCTGAGGGATACAAAAATCTGGAGCCACCTCACCTTGACTCAGTGTCAATGTACACACCTACTGGAAGCACAGATTCACCGCCAAGTACACCTGCGGATTCCATGGAATCAGAGTCATTTGAGGCAAGAGGCAGGCTTCTTAGCAGAAGCCCAAGGAAGAAGCCGAGTTTTTTTACAGTGAGTTTGAAATGTTTCAAGCTGCAATTTCATTAGCGCACTAGGAATGTCTTTTGTTTGGGTCAAGCGAAAGAAACCGGCTTCTTATGATCTGTGTAATTAAACTTTATACAGTCGAACCCTGCTTTACGGGGACTTCGGCTTAGTACTGTCACCTCGTTAACTTAAGGTGGCTCGACGGGGTTTTTGTACTGCCTGACTACTTGCTTGTTCCTTGTAAGCATTTTGTATTGTCCAGATTTTCATACCATCGTGAATTACAAGCCACCAAGCTTGAAACTTGCCGCGCTTCAGTAACCACCGAACACTCTCAGAATATGGTAATAAGGCGCTTTGCTTTGTGCAGTTACTGAAAGTAGCAAAACAAGAGATCAAATAAACCGACTTGGCTGCAATACCGAAGCTTGAAAGCTAGAACATTTACCGTTCTAATGCAGTGAGGAAACATTTGTGAGCATTTTGCTGAATCGTTGTTATTAAAGGCTGATTTAAGTGTGAAAAAACAAAACAAAAACAAAAACAAAAAACAATACAATACAAAAAAACAAAACAAAACAAAACAGAAAAAGACCCGCTATATTCGAAAGTGCACTCGAAGAAATCATCGAAACTTGGCCAAAGTGCTACCCATAATGTACATTATCCATAGTTTAAACCGATTGTTCTAAAGAATTCGTTTCTTTTGGTAAATACCAAATAACAAACGTTTGCTATGGCAACGTTGCGTTGGTAGGGACGCTCCGATCTTCAAAAACCTAACTGAATATCAAACTTTAACGTATTGCTAGTTTGCTTGTAACATTGATATTGCGAGAAAATCATGTCCAAGTGTATTACTCTGTTAAATGACGACCAATTTTCCTTGTGTTGAATTCGTAAGGATTCTATCCAAGTTCACGAAGGGGGAAAGAAGAATCTGTCGTTAAGTGTTCATGTCCTCCATAAAACTTCGCGTTAGGAAGTTCTACGTCAAACTCCTAAAGTGCTCGTCAAGAAATGTACCAAAAAAGTGTGATGCACAATTATTGCACGTGCAATACAGTAATTTGGATCGAAACCCACCAACCATGAGCGAGGTTTGTGATACACCAATCACCAACAACCACGGTGGTGCAAATAGTACGACTCAGTAAATCGACACTATCTCCTGATGAAGACCTGCAGTGTGCTGTCGAAACGTCGCGATCAATATCAAAGTGACAATCGTTAGACAAACGATAAAAACTAAACCCTTTATACACATTATCCACCATGATTAATATCTTTCATGACACCTTTTTTGTTGTTGTTGACCTTCTTTTTTTTGTTGTTGTTGTTGACCTTCTTGGTGTTATCGTGTTCGTGGTTTTAACCAAAGTTATGCTTTCAAAAACTGACTCCTTTGTATGATAGCTACTACAGTTACTTCTTTGCCTTTTCTTCTTAACTACGACTCTGAGGTTTAAGATCACTTTGTTGATGAAATATCAGATGTTTTGTTGGGTACTAAAGAATTTTTTTTTATTTCCTTAATGAGTTGCTATTAGTTTTTGAAGGTGATGTAACATGTCTTGTATTTTACTGTAGATGAGAGAGTCAGAGTCCTCAGACATACTAGAAAGCCCAGAAACTACCTCCATGCAAGGTATGATAACTCAAAATCATCAAGTTGATGTTAACCAGGCAACATGGGCAAAGCTGTTACCAAGTAGCAGTGTGCGTTTGAGACTGGTTTTCAATCGAGATTTCTCCGTGTTGCTGCACCATGGGATTAACTGAAAACATCTGCTCAAAGAGGCTGGGTTAGCACCTTGTTACCTAACAAACCTTCACAGAATTCTACGGAAATGTAATATAACTGCAACATACTTTAGAGGAACACTTGAGAAATGCAAAAAAAAAAAACATAAAAGAACGCTGGTGGGTGAAATTGAAGAATATTAAACCGGATGTCCATTAACGTAAAATTAAAAAACAACGACCTGCTTTTTCAAGTTTGTCATAGTTTGTATGAAAATATGACTTATGATGCATATTATATATACAATGCGGCGTTGAAGTTGTCAGCGAAAAGCTTTTCGTCTAACAATTCGTACTTTAAACCTGCCAGTTAATGAAAATAGGCAAAATTATTGAAAGTATCGTCCGTCATCTAGCTTAGTAACTAGCCCCTTTTAGAATTGTTAGCAAAGGATTTAAGGGAGACGTGCCATTCCCTTGAACCTAAATCCAACTTCTAGCATGTGTTTTCTTTACCATCGCACTTTAAAAGTTGCCAAAGTCAAAATTGAACAGAAATTCAAAATATCATTTTCATGGGAAAGTATTGCCAGTGAGGTTTTATTTGAATGGTCCATAGGATTTTGTCCACAGACTCAAAAGTTAGAGCCGCCTTACAAGAGACCATCCCTCACTTTAGGATTAAAAGGGCCAAGCACACGTACATGTCTATTTGTTGCAGCAACTTCTCATGACTGATGTCGATGTTGAATATACATAAAATGTTCTGCAATTGGTATAGGATTTAATGGAGCCGAAACCAATTGTGAAATTGTAGAATTGCACGCATTTTAGGCATCCTCCTGATGAACAGTTGCGACACGTAGATGTATCTTTTTTAGCAACTTCTATAATTTGCAGTCTGTCCACTTTGAATACATTATAACTGTATGTTGAATAAATGGTAAAGATTATATGTTAATGAGTCCATCAAAATGGTTTTGTAATCGTGTTAGGATTTCCAGATATCCCGCAGGATCAGACCAGGAAAGAAATGACCTTTGAAAAGGTAAGAATAATAGTTGATAGTGTGATGTTCCGGTTCGGCTCTGCTTAATTTCTATTCTTTTCACTGGACGGGTAGAATTGAGTCTTCAAGTTCACCCCTTCGAATTCCTCTCAGTGCAAATCGATTTTAGTTCTTGGCGCTAATTGAATTCTTTGTTCTTCGGCTAAGTTGCTTCATGGTGGGTGGAACTTTAGTTTTTCAATATTTTCAAAGAGACGGAATTGTCTGCCCCAAACGCTGTTTTTGTTGTTGTTGGCCGTAACAGAGTACGGCGTAGGCAAAGCTTCTTAACTCCTTCTTTGGCCCCTCCTGCTGCCCCTGCATTATATTCCGCAAAGCCTTCCCTCTCCTCTTTTTTCCCTTCTAAATCTTTATAATTATTTTTCTCTTCTCTACATAGGTATTTGTATTCAACTTGTTTAGTGATATTTTGTGTGAGTGAAATAGAAATTGAACTGAATTGAGACAATTCTTTTTGGTCCAATCACGGTTATCTATTGTTCGTAAGATTAACATAGCTTCACCAAGTAATTTAACTCAAATTTCCTTTAGGTCCTTGTTGCCTCCTTCTTTGCGTATTTCACTGATAACTTATTACTTTGCTGGTTTTTATTTTAGCCGCAACTTGGAGTCTCTCCCGCTGAGCACTTCCCAGTTTCCTCTCTGCCAGAATACAGCCAGTGGCAACTGAAGAAAGCAGAGACCAAATATCTGTCATCATCTGAGATGTACCGGGTAAGACTGGGCAGTAGGGAGGCAGTATGTGCTACGAGATCGTTTAGATCTGTTTTCTGTGACTTTTGTGACACCAATAATAAAGAATCATAGGATTGCTCATCCCCTCCCTCCAGAAGTAGCAGAGCTGACGTGCTGTACACAGGTGTTTTCCCTCTTATTAATTTCTTTTTCGCTGCGATGAATCAGCACGGTGGCCGGGGATGAAACTGGACTGCGTCCTAATCGACGTTAAGCCCATAATACCCACTGAAGTCCCGAGAGCCTTGGCCACACCACCTGGATCTTCGGTTTGTTGGAGAGGAGCAATGGAGGGGTGCGCGAGAGAACGGGGAAACCGCGAGGAAAACCGGGCGTAAACCTTTCTGGCGACTTTGTTGCTCATGTAGTGCTTTTTATTTTAAGTTCGAAAAGAGATAGTTCGGTGAAGGTACTGGTCTGTAGGTTTCTCCTCTTTATCCCAGTTCACTAGAATGTTGAGCCATCTGTGGATACTCTGGCAAAGGCAGCACCTTTATTCGGAGTTGGTTTAAGACCCCGAGTAATTGGTTCCGACCAAGGGCCTACCACTTTTGGGGTGTGGTACAAAATTAATGAACCAAACGTGGCATACTTTTGTTAGCCTGCTCCACTATTCGAGGTTAGAGTACGCCTGTGACGTAGGCTAAACTTATGATAGTGTTTGCGTTACTGTGTAGCTTGCAAGTGATGAAGAGAGTGTCCATTCGCTGAACATTGACGACCATGATCACCATCACACTGGTAAGTTTTGTCAGAGGGTATTGCTTACAGACAAAAACCAGATAGAAACATACAGATACAAGTTTGTTATCTTCAGTGGTTATTGTTATTGACTGAAAGGAAGAAACTTGTTAGCAACGCTCTGCTTACTTGGCCATTTCTCATAGGAGATAAGAAGACTGACCAACCGGGCAAAGACTATCCGCAACAATATTCTACCACTCCAAAGAAGATAGAGAGACCGAAGTCACTAACCCTCCATACCCTGTCAGTGGATCCGCCAGTGATTCGAGAAAGCCCCGAGTTCGCTGCAGACAAGGTCTTTACAGATCACGACAAAGCTGTAACGAGCGCAAACAAAGACAAGCTTCCCAGTCCTACGCGTTCACCTAAAGCGCGCGAATCTTCCAAAGACCTGGACACTGATCCCGAGGTAAAATTTAAATACAGTGCAGTCCTGATTTCTCAAAAGTTCGACTTATTCGAAAAAAAATGGCTCCCTTTCCAGTCAGATAGTAATTTCACTACCAGTTTTCCAAACCTAATGATAATTTAAACCAAATCTCTTCTCCTGAGGTGCCCCGAAAAATCGGAATTCCAGTGAAATGCTCGTGTTTGTTTTACTTGTGGTCTCTCGGTTAAGTGGTCAAAATAAATGTACTCGACGAATACATGCCTTGAGTAGGAATGCTAGCGATATACAAAACACTCCTCATTTGATAACCCTGATGGACACAAATTTTTGGCGTCAAACTAAAAAAAAGTATTAATGAGGGAGCTCTGCAAACACCTTTTCATGGAAGCGGGTGAAAAGGGTACCCACCAAGTGCTTATGTCAAGCGACTCGCGATTCCTCTAGATTTAGGGGAAATGTACTCTAGCTGATTCGTTCGTGGTGGTCTCATGCCGTTATACGAATTCTTAGAGAAAGACGTCCGAGAGAGATGTCGTCTTTTATTTGGCAACGTTACCCTGTTCGTCTCCTGGAACTTTCTAACCCCATGTACATGTCAAAGCTAGGACCAAGACTTTAGACGAGTCAGGTGTTGAAACCTTTATTTTTCTTTCCAACGCTATCTCCTAGGTCCCTAAAAAACCAAAGCTGAAGAAGTCGTCCAGCATCAGTTCACCAATCAGAGACAAGAAGAGCTTGGATCACTCGGCCCATTCCTCTTTCTCATCTCCCCGTCAAGGAAAAAGTACGATGGCTGTGAAAAGTAAAGAAGCCGAAGACAGACATGGTTACATGGGTTTCCTTGGAGATCCAAAGAAGAGCTCCTCATCACCAGAGCTTTCTTCGCCGCCAGCTGTTCATAAAGGTATCTTCTTATCACGAGTACTGTACTTCGTCCTTCTGCTAAAGTTGCTGTGTATCTTAGTATATTCTTGTATATCCCTTTCTTATAATAAATTTCACTGTAAATTTCTTCCCCGATTCCCTAGTGCCACTTGTTAAAAGCGAAGGTGCCAAGCGGAAGATGTCTCGCTCAAGAATTGTTCCCCTAACGGGGGGTCCTCAGTTCATAAATAAGGGATCCAAGTCAGCCCCAGTAGCGAGCGACCCTACAGATTCGGGACCTAAAGAGCCCCCCATTCTGGTGACTCCGTCAGAATCATTCAGGTATCCCCTGGACCCGTGCTTCGTGTTCCTACAGCTGTATCATGCATCATTCCTGGGAGCCGCACACGAAAAACCACAGCCGGTACCTGAAGGCGAGGTAGAGTAATAGCGCTATGGTCTACGGAGTAGCATAGATCAACTTGACCTCTGTAAAGAAGACATGATTTCAATGTACTGGTATTTTTTGTTGTTGCTGCTGTTACGGTTAAGAATTTGACTCTGATATTAAATTAGTGGTGTCTGTTGCCACTGGGTGTACTTTGTCTGGTGCTGGCTGGCCGTGCTGGCTATTTGCGGAGGTTCCAATTTAATTTTCTCTCGAAAGCGATATAACGATGTGTCAGCTGGTTCAACATGATTGTTTTTCGTCACATAGATAAGATACTACTATTTAAGATTTTCTTACAAATACGATATGCATTGTTAAACCCCTGCATTTCGCTACTTTAGGTGGAAGACATAGTTCTCATTGTTTGAATCCCCTGGTTTGATATTTTGGTATTAATTTTTTTGTGGGCGCTGGGAAAGGGGATCATTTGGCATAACACCGCAGAGCGAAAGAAGGTTCGACCTTAATAGGCCCAGCTATTTCATTTTCGATCGAACTAGTGCTACATTTATCTATTTATTCCAAACGATTATTCTGTTATCTGTTGGACAGGTCATTGAGCGAGCCATCAAGTGCCTTGACCGTATCCCTCCCTATGATACACACAAGATTGGTGTGATTTATGTTGGGCCTGGGCAACATGACAACGAGGCTGCAATCTTGAGAAATGTTTACGGGTCAACCCGTTACATGTCATTTCTTGCGGGACTCGGCACTCTCGTTCGGCTTCGGGACTGCCCGCCAGCGGAGATTTACACTGGTGGGCTGGATAGAAATGGCGAGGACGGTGAATTTGCCTACAGCTGGCAGGATGATATTTGTCAAGGTAACGGCCCTTCCTAAAGAAAATTTATTGACAAACACACTGAAATAAGAAGTAATCTCTGAAATTTCTGCAGTCTTCCTTTCGCATTTTACCAGCAGTCACTGTGTATAACATAATAAATAAACAAAGTAGTAGCAACGTGGTAGCTACAATCGAAGCCCTCGTAAGCGACCACCTCGAAAATTCGAAAAAGTGTTCGTATCTAGAGCTGGTCGCTTACGAGAATCAGTTCTCGTAAACGATCGCATGGTAAAACAATAGAAGGTGGTCGCTTCAGAAATCCATTAATAATTAGTAAAGAAAAAACAAAAGAAATTAACGTTAAATGAGTGTCTTAATATCTGACATAGACACAACGGTTAAACTTTACGTCCAATTTTTTAGACCATTAGTGCAGTGTACAGTTTCATTTTCACTCTGAGTGGTCGCTTACGAGAGCTTTTCATTACAAAGTTTAAGTCACAGTTCAAACGGAGTTTCACGAAGGTGGTCGTAACTAGAGCTGGTCGCTCACGAGAGTGGTCGTGAGGAGAGCTTCGACTGTATTAATTTGTTTAGTTCTCGCAGGGATTAAATCCAGGCAGTCAAAAGTGAGAAAAATCTTGAACATCAATCCAACAACACTAAGTGGTGTACCAAGGATTTCATGTATTTTTTGTAAAGTAGAATTTAGCACAAAAACCACTGTTTAACGGTTGGGGAAAGGGGAGTGGTTAATTAATCTACAGCCAACAAAAAGAAGAGGGGAAATGGTGTCAAGAACAAGGAAATGAATACTATTCTACGTGCTTCTTTAATTTCAGATCTACTTTCTCGAGGAAAAAGTCAATCGTTTTTTTTTTATTTTTCGTTTTTTAGTTATCTTCCATGTTGCCACACTGATGCCGACCCGTGAATCCGACTCAGGCTGTAACTCGAAGAAGATGCACATTGGTAACGACTTTGTAACCATCGTCTACAATGACTCCCAGCAGACGGTAAAATTTGGCACGATCAAGGTAACATACCTTCAAGAAAAAATGCTTGACAAGGTTTTCGTCGTTTTTGTTGACATCGGGGTCCCTCCCCTCGGTATTTCTGTCTGAGAAACCAACTTTGGTTTGTTCCTCTTTCGTGCCTTTGGTACGTTGGCTTGAGCAGCTTCTTTTTATATTGCTTGCTTGTTTGGTTTTGCCTTATCTCTTGATATTGTGCTGTTTCAGTATCTAACAGTACTACAATTATAGCTTTCAGTTTATAAAGGCACATTTAAAGATTTCACCCACAAACCAAATGTTAGCACCATCCTGGGCTGTGCAATAAACAGGTCACAGATGGTTGTTTCTCAGTGGCTGTAATTTAGAGTCGAACTTTACTCTGAAGAATTAAATTTTGAGGCCAATTTTTAATCAATAAAAGGGATTATGAAAAAGGACATTGCTACCCCAATTAGAATCGTCTTGGTTTTTTTCTCCGTTTTACTTCTTAACAGGAGCACGATGCACGAAAAGAAGATAAAACAATTTGGATTGACATTTTGGTTAACTTAAGCTTTTTAATCGTTTTATTTTAGTTTTCATTTTTTTTTCTCTTATTTTCTTTGCCAGGGTCAGTTCAATTTTGCTGAAGTGTTGGTTAAACCGCTTGATAATGCATCTAACATGGTGTCCCTGCGGTTCAAAGATGAGCTAAAGGATCTGCTGACTGACACAGGGCCCCGAGTCATCTCTGATGACAACCTTCCTCGCTTGGTACGGCAGTTGGTCGTGCACATTAACGTAAGTCAATGTCATGCACTGTTAAGTGTTCAGATTTTTTTCCCGAAAAAAAATCAAATAAAATCTTTGATGACTTAGTAAAACTCAAATTTAGCGACGAAATACATTATGAGATTTACATCTAGGCCAATCGTTTACAGTTTGTCGGATGTGTTAACACCCAGGCTCAAGTACAGATTGAGACAACCTTTTGCAATTCGTAAATTCCTTAACAATAATTTGTACTGGTATCGAGAAATTCATACATAACTTGTTATCAGTGTAAATGAAACAAATTGGTCGTTGTCTACTAGATATTTTGCAGGATATTACACTGCCTTATAGACCAAATTTGGTCATAGTTTTTGTTTCCTGTCGTCTTTCGTAGTCCTGCTACCATTGCGTTCGACGTTAGGAGAACGCAACTCCTAATCTGTTTGCGTATTTCGTCGTTCTTCCGCCTTTCCAGCGGCATCTTGAATTACTTCACGTGCAGACCATGGTAACGTGGTAGGCAACGACGCATGTATAATCGAACCGGCGTGGGCGAGAAATTAAAACAGAATTCTCGACTGTTATTGTTGGCAATTTTCAACTTGACCCGGCTTTGCAAACAATCCATTGTATTCATTGTGCAGCTTGTTTTATGATGTTGGCTTGATATACTTTGCGTTATCGTTGTAATTTATACAACTTTGCATTTCATCAGCATTTCCGTGCACACCTCTACGCACTTTATAATCTACGATTAATGCTAGTTTTATATCTTAATCTTGACGTTTTCTTTCATTTCCCTACAGATGGCATCTGTTATTCACCAAAGTCAAAAGCGGCCAACAGACGCTTACGGATGTAATTGGCTAGAGAGGTTACGTCAGATTAAACGAGTGCGCTCAAAGGCGACGGCAGAGAATTTTTCAGTTCCCAGCAGCCCCATGGGTAAGGCCTCACCCTCACCTGGGCTGCGCCCTTCGTCTTCACTGGTCACAGGTCTCACAGATTTCACAGAGTATATTATGAGATAACGTCGAATCGTCTCCGAATTACGCAAGGCAAAATATTCCAAAATAGGTCCTTTATTGCATGAGATAATTTTAATGAGCCTAATTTCTGGGCTATGCCACAGCAGTGAAGCGATCATTTTCCCGTAAAATTCTTAAATTGAAAAGGAAATTTTGCTTGTGAAAGCCAAGAAAAATAATCTTAACATCATCTTAATCAAGACACACCTGTTTTGCAATTCCTTTCTCTTTACACGCTGTACCAATTTGCAAAGGTGATATATCATGTATGTAAAAAGTGCGTTGGAGATATATGCAAAATAAGTTTTTCTGGATTAAGATGATGTAAATGACAATGAAATTCAAGTAATTCAAGAGTTGTTATTTTATAGATTAATAAAAAGTTATTACTCAGAATATTTATTATCAAAACATAGTTACTATAACTATTAAAGTAACTATCAAACCTGGTATATTGATGATTGATTTCCATTCTGCATGTTGTCATTGTTTTGTTGTTTATGATGTTATTCGTGTTGTTTTTTTAAATATGTTTTCAACTGAACCAGATATAGTCGTGGGACGACCAGCAAACCAGTAAACCTTAAACGTTTTAGGGCTGACTTCTAGTTCGCTAGTTACTGCAAATACAAACAAGTTGGTTGTAGAACGAACTCGAAATGTTTCAATTACGTATTAACTTTCCTGGGGACAATTTGTTAAGTTTACTGGTGTTTTGGTTTGTTGGTTTTGTTTCTTTGTTTATGTTTTTCAAGTGCATGTGATGTAGGAAGTAGTTAAGGTAACTGCATCTATAATTTGGTGATCGAAGCATTTCTAGGTGAAACTGTCAACTGAAAGCAAGCTGATGCCCTCTTTTCGCCACTCAGTTACAAAAGAAGAAAGAAGAATGGCCACATACTCATATCTAGACTCACACTTCTCGAAAATTTTATAATTAATTTATTCCTTTTTAACCAAAAAAAAAACAACGGAAACGTTTTAAGGACCTACGGTCAATTATTTGTAAAAGAAAATAACTAATAAAGAACTCAAGGTATTCGTTCTAGGAAAAGGGGTAGTAACTGGAAATCCCTAGGGTTGTAGTCATCGAATCAACCGTACCCCCACCCTTTGGATCACACTTTCTGCTCTCCCGAATTCCTGTCTTCTTAAAAAAGCTTAAAAATTAAAATTAGCGACTGCATGAAGAACATTCCCGAAAAAGACGCTTGCATGGCAAAACACTTAAAAATACGTGAAAAGTACAGTAGGTTCCCTATCTTGACCTGAAAACCTTCTAACGGGTTCCACTTCTCTCGCTTAGAGAGGCGCCTGGTAACTGATGTAATCAGTAATGTCCGGGCTTGTTCAACAGTCACTTGACACAATTCCTTGTTTTCTTCTTCATGAATCGTTACAGATACATTATTATTCCGCTTACATGAAAATGCACTAAGAACAAGTAAATGCCATCTAAATTAAGTTTACAAGAATACTCTTTCCGTAATCGCTACTGCAAGTCGTTTTTATTAAGCAAAATAATTTGGAGCAACCTGTTAGCTATATTACAAACATATCACGCGCCTTTGAAACTAAGCCTGGCTTGGACCAGAGACTTGCGGCGTCGCTGACCTTGCGATTGGATCGGTACAATAATATCCTAAGTTCTAAAGATAGGTGACTTAGACTATATACACACCATACCATGTAGCTTTTGCGCCGGCACGAAAACCATACCAGATAGGGCTTCTGTTCACACATAATAAGAAAGGTGATTTGGGCGCTATTTCTGTAAAGGAGCGAAGCTGCGCCGCGCTGATCTCTAAAGCAGAGAGTCACATATGGGATAGGTGTTCATAGTTTACCGGATAGCTATCGGTAATAGTATGAACATAGCCTTATTATAAAATAACTAAGATAGTACGCGCGCTCTGATTGGCCGAGAGGAGTGTTTGCATCAGAGTATGTAAACATGGTTGTGGCGTCAAGTTGTTTGGCTTTTCGCGCGCTAATCACGCAAGCACAAATTTGAAAAAGTTTTCGAGTTCAAAACTCAAAAAGTTTACTTTATTTACCCATTCCTTCGACGGCTGAAACTTGGAAAATCGTTACAAAGAAGGTGTGTACATTTTTCTTCGCTTAAGCTGACCGTTTAAAGCGAGAAAAATCCGTATTTTGCAAAGCATTTTTTTTTTCAAAACAAGAACTGATTACGCGTGCAAGACTTCGTGGTCAAGATTTTGCGACTGGTAAGAATTTCTCTTTTAATCAGTGCCTTACAAAGAGTTTTGCGTTTTTTGCTCGGGAAAGTTATTTTATAAAAGCAATAGAAAACTTTTTTCCTGTGTTTGCATAGCCTGATATAGACACTCGAGGCGTTGGGAGAATTCTCGACAGTTATGCAAACCCTCGACTTCGTCTCGGGTTTGCATAACTGTCTCGAATTCTCCCAACCCCTCTCGTGTTTATATCAGGCTATGCAAGCACGGAAAACGTTTTCTATTGCTTAAATAGAAGTTATCATGTATTTAAATTTGATATGGCGTCACAGATGGACTTAACTGAAATCCTCTTGGACTTTCTTGTTTTAGTGTGCAATTCTTTCCCCCAAAGCTTATGCTACAATATAACAGCCTTAGAACTGACACAGATATTACGTAAGCTCCCTTACGACTTACTTATAACTATAGTTTTAGTTGACTATGACTTCTAAAACTTTTTTTTTTTGGAGAAATTAGTTGCATTTTCTTCAGTCGTTAACAAAGGGAGCAAACAAAATATGACTCAGTTCAATTTCTCTATGTCCAGGGCCACGACTCGTCCACAAGGCAGTGATTATTTTCATAGTGTTCTATCAACTTGCTCCACATTTCGTCCATCCCAAGAAGATTTTTGTTTCCTAAGGGAGAAAAAACTTTGTTCAGAACAAGAATATTACACTGGTTGAACACCCATCTAGATAAGCCAACAATAAAACAATGAGACCACTCGGACACTAAATCTCCCGAATCAGTAACTGTAGTTTGATGAAAATCAGGCCCTTTGGCTAACCCCTCATCACTTTTGTACGTTATATTTATTGGTGCGCTTTGTGTTAAAAACGAAACAAAAACAATCGGTGGCGCAAAATGCCTGTTTGAGTTTTTTTTGTCAAATGAGAATACTGCCAATTAATATGGTTCCTTGGCAAAATAAAAAAAGCAACAACGCGGTTTTTCTCACCGATAATACAAAGCCCTCTGCGTGCTCGTGTGAGTCCCACGTTCATTTGATGTTCGTCTCTTAAGAATCCCAGGTGTTCACCGAGCCAGCTGAGGGAGGGCTCTGGGTCGATTTCTTCTTTCTTTAGGGAGCGAACCAAAGACATGATGACGTAATCCCATTCACTTCCTGAAATTTAATTACGAAATTAACTCAATAATAATTGTTTTAGGAAAACTACTAAATATGTTTTATTACTCATACACTTGCAAATATTTTGAACCGGTAAGTCAATGATAATTTAAGTTGGATAACATGCTTCGATCGCAATTATGCCAGACATGTAAATGGTATTTAGCTTTCAGAGCTTTTTAGGTAAAGAGGGTATAAGATCACCTGTTAAAGGAACGAAGGTGTAGAAACAAGGCAAAAAAGGCAAATGGAATTCCGCGCTATTTATCGATCTTTCTGGTCGATGTCGTACCTTGACTTTTCGTGATAGTTGTAACGTGAATGTCGTCGTACGCCCCTCTTAATAACTCGCTGATTTTACTTCGCTGCTCTCTGTAAGGCGACAATATGACCACATCTGATTTGCGCACTGAGTCACGATTGACAAGGTATTTTGCAACTTGCACCTAGACGAGAAACAAGCGGACAAACTGGGCTGAACATTCCTTTTGCTGTTGTGAAATCAGTCCCTTCAGGTGTGGAATAAAGTAGCTATATAACATGAATGAATTTAATGTTTGGAAAACTACCTCTCGTAAGCTTTAGCTGCTTTTTGTATTCTATTTGTTAAATGTTGTCTTCGAAGCTGTCGTCAGTTAACGTCATTTGGGGCTCACATCACACACAATAATAAGCTAGAAACGGTGCTCCGATTTGCGGGTACTACAAGCCAGACTGATTCTAAAAATTGGTAGGGTTAAAAGGATCTACTAAGGCTCAAGCAAATTTGTTCACCTCAGCAGCACAGTCCGTGCTTCAGTTCAGCCTTCAAGGCTAAAAGGGCTTCACTGTTGGTGGGCCTGCAGGCTTCTGTTATTTTTACCTTTATGTGGAGAAAAACTATTCCTACACCAGAACTGATAAGAGGTGTATCTGAGCAGAGTAGTTTAGTAAGGCCCGAATTCACCCCCTTTTTTTTTGGGGGGGGGGGGGGGGGGGGGGGAGTTTTTTATAAAGAAAAAAAAAAATATATAGAGAAAGAGAATTTCTTTTTTTTTTTTTCTTTTTGGGAAAAAAAAATATTCCTCCACAAAAATTGAAAAGGGGGTTGTGGGGAGGGGCGTTTTTGAAGGGCCCCCTTTTCCCCCTTTTTTTTTGGGGGGGGGGGGGGGGGGGCGTGAATCTCTTTAAGAAGGACAAGAATATATTGAAGCCGAAGATGTCATTGCCTTTTACCTTCTGTTTGATAATGAGTGAAGCAGGAAATTGAATCTGCATAATTAAAAGCTAAACGTCCACTATCTAAGATATAGATGAGGAAGTAGAACTATGCAAAACGCTCACCGCTTACCTTATGCACATTCTTAACACTTTGAGTCTCATCTAGGCCAGAAGCAGCCGCAATCAAAAATTCCATTAATGGTTCTCTTCGACTATCATCATTTTAATAAGGTCTCCAATTCCCCTTTTACACGACGGCTAACTCGTTATGCGCAGGAAGAGAAGCGCAGTGCAAAACCACCGAATCACCTTAAAGGGCATGTAAACCCAAAAATGCTACAATTTTGTTTGATATGAATAGAATGTATGCCTAAAGTACTTCATAAATCTTTTTTCTTTTTTTCGATACAAGCGCATTTTGACCCGAG